ACATTGACTATATTGCCTAGTGGTGTTACAGCCTTTCACCTAATTATTTTAAAGCATAAGTCTAATGTAAATACTAAATGAGTGTTACAGAGATTGTGTATTGTTTGAATGGAAGTTAGGTTGTTAAGATGGTCTAAGTTAGGACTGATATTCAGTATTCTGTGCCAAGAAAAGCACACCAGTAAAAACTGGTGCATCCTGGCATTTCTGGCAGGATTTGAACTGTCTTTAATCTCATTTGACTTGTTCATCTTCCTTTAAGGCCATCCATAAAGATGCATTGGGTATCCTTTTCAGCCTTTGGTTGGATTTGCATCAATAGTCATAAACCTGCTCTCTGGACAAAGACGCGCTTTCCTTTGAAGTAACTGTTCAAGCTTTTCAAAGCATCTCTAGAAGTCTATCCTCTTTTTATTTTTCTTTAAGGAGAGTTTGAAGCATAGACCCTTAAACTAGTAGCAAGATAAATTTTTCTTGAAGCATTATTGAAAGCCATGACAATTTTTCAAGAAGCAAGACTTTAAAAGGCTGTTAAGGGAATCTGTTCTGCTTTATGATCTAGTTTTTGGTAGATCCTGCTAGCTCAGAAAGCAAAAAGTAAAGATTGTTTGTATCCATTAACCACTGCAAATTTTTATCACACAACTTAGCCTGATCTTTTCCAGAAGACTTTTTTCCTGCTCTTTATTTGATTTAGAGACGTCACTGAGAGATGGTGGTAGCTTTCGGGTCTTTGGAAAAATTATATATGTGATGTTGTCTTATTTAAGTTGCATTCCCCCCCCCAGGTACTAATGTTATGGGCTGACAAGAGGTTGGGAGGGGCAGATTTAGGTGAGTGCTGCAAGGAGAACGAGTTATATAGCTCCTAGATTTTATTTCTTGGCTTTCCAAACAGAAATATGCACAAACATGTATGGGGTCTTGCCTTTCCTTTCTGTGGGATGTTATCACTTGCGCTCTGCTCTGATCCAGGATGATGTATAACAGCGTGACTTCAGAGAAAAAGAGAGTGTCTGTGAACCACATAGAAACCCGCTGCTCTGCCTCCCATATCCTCTCTGCCCTGGGTTCTCAAAATGCCTACAGAGATTAGTATGAACCCATTTGATTTAAATCCCATACCGTATAATTCCATTGACTAATTCAGATAGCTAATATTTAAAATATTTGGTTTATTGGAACCTACAAAAAATCCAGCCAGTACTGATTTTCAGCATACTTTTTGATGAAGAGAAAAGATAAAGAGTGCTTAGTCTATATAGCAGATAAGTCTTTAAGACTGGAAACAGCTTTTCTTAGGGGAAATGGTATCTGTCTATATATTGCTATGTGTAGATTTTTAGCGACCACTAAATGTACATTTCCTATAGCTGACATTAGGCCATGTAGTCCTTTTTTTTTTTGTTACTGGGAATCTAGTGACTATGTGAAACCAGTTCCCTGAAAGGAGCCTAACAATCATAAATCTACCCTTATGCTTTTCATTTGTTTTCTGTGTGTATGTGTTTTCCTGTTTTGTATTTCCTGAATTGTCTAACCGGCTTCCTGGATTAGGAAATGTTTTGCCAAACTTTGAAACTCCACTCCTTGCTTGCATTGAACAGGTCTTTCTTTAAAGATCTGACTGTAAGAAAAGAAAAATCTTTTTTTCAGTTTTAAAATGACTTTGTTGTGTTTTGTCTGTGTGTATGCATTCTGATTTGTGAACAACAACAAAAAAACGATTGCTATAGACTACGGAAATTATTAGTATTTTGCAAGTAAAGCATACTAAGAGAAATCTTAATTATGAGTTTATAAAAATGAATGCTTATATTTTAATTCATTTTGTCAGGTTAATCTAGAGACTCCCTAAACTCTTTAATTACAGAAAACTGTCAATATTTCAACTTTTACATTGAAAAGAAGAAATACAATAGACAGTAATCATCTCCCTCCCCCTCTCTTCCCCTGAGAACATGTTCTTAGATCTAAAAAAACAAAAAGTTAGCGCTGACATGTTTAAGTGACAGTGTCCTTTGACTTACCCATCTGTCTTTTGTTTACTTTGGCTTGGACATAGATTGCTTTCAGTTACCATCAGTTTTCCTTCAAACTTTTGCTTTCCACTGAAGAATCAATACCAAGGCAATTCAATTTAAAACACAAATCTCTCACCCCAGCCCCACAAAATGGCAACTTATTAAAAGAGAACAATCCTACCAAAGATGTATTCCTTTACCTCTTAATGATCTTAAAAAGTTGTCAGTAGATATAATTAAACATTCATTTCAAAAATAACACTGTTTTTCATGGAATGTTGAGGTTCTTGGGAAAGGAGGGGAGGAATGCTATGAATCAGAGTATTTGTGACTTTAAAACACAGCATACTTATTAACAATTTTCATGGCAAGTTTTTATCTCTATTAGAGTTAATTTTCTTATGATGGTTAACTAATTCATACTGGACTGTATTTATTTACTTACTTTTTTTTTTCCCTTTCAATTTTTCCAAATTTGTGGACTTCTTAAAGGGAAGAAAAAAGTTCATATGACCTTTTCTTTGTTTTGGGAAATGTCAAGTAAACTTTGTAATTATGTTGGACTTCGTTTCAGAAATCAGTTGCTGAGCTCTGAATCAAATGAAACCATGCACCTTGTTCCACTTACCTCCCCCCTCCCCTTCCTTTTAGTAAGTCACTTACCCTTTGTCACCCAGGACGCAGGCCAATTCCAGCATCTGGCAGCACACAGCACAGCCAGGGCTGTGCAGTTTCATACAATGCCCAGACACCAAAAGCCATGAAGGACACTAGGGGATACAGCTGTGTAGTGTGATTGTACTAATCATGCTCCTGGGTGTAACATCCTGGGCTGGGGTGCCAGCTAGCCAGCAAGTGAAGTAGGACAGGAAGCACTGAGACCAGGCCCCTGCCCTCATAATAGAAGTCCTAGTGGTTACAAATCGGGCTGCTAACCTCAAGGTCGGCAGTTCAAAACTACCAGCGGTTCCACGGGAGAAAGATGAAGCTTTCTGCTCCCGTAAAGATTTAGAGCCTCGGAAACCCTGTACAGGGTCACTGTGAGTCGGAACTGACTCCATGGTACTTAACAACAACAGCCGTTTCCTGGTCATGGAACTTGTACATTCTGTGAAATCTGTTTGTCCACCCCACCCCACCCCTGAGAAAAACACAGGAATATAGGAATATTTTGCATGAGATGCTATAGAATTTTTGATAAAACAGCTTGGAAATGAAATTCGTTTTTTCTTTTCTTTTTTTTTTTTTTTCTTTAGCAGTGTGTGCCTTCGTAGTAGGTTTCTGATGGACTTTCTGTTACCTAACAGATTTCTCTCCTTAGAGGGGAGACTGCTGCAGGGATAGCCAAGTGGTGTCTGGGATTGGTCCAACAATTTATTCTTTTCCCCAGAGTTCCATAGCTGGTGGTATCGACTTACTTTCTGGGCATATCTTCTTCTTTTTGATTACACAGTATCATTCATCAACCATACTATAAAGTCAATCCTAATCAAGAAAATATAAGATTACTATCAGAATCCAGTTCTCTGTTCTATTTATAAAAGGCTTTTTGTGTCTCTGTCCTTAGAGACTATACCAAAAGAGGATTAGAGTTTAGTCTTAAAATAGTATTCTTCAGACTAAATAGAAGTTGAGTTCATCCTTGTGGTTTGGCATGGATCAGGCCACAAATCAAACCTATTATTATTATTTACTAATCTGTGCTGGGGTCATTCATGAAGTGGGCTCCTTATCAGTCGACCTCTCATTTCTTTTTGTTCGGGACTTCGACCCAGGGTGACTTGTTTTTTCTGCCTCAGAAAAGGTTTTTTAACATCTCTCATTATTCGGAGACTTCTACTTTACCCACATTCTCTACCCTACTGTCCTAATTTTTCATTGACTGTCAGTATAATTACTGGTACGGGTTTGGTTTTATTGGTGTTTCCTGATTTCTTGTTTTCTCAGTTCATTGAATGAACCATAGAGAAACCATACTCTCTGTGAGATACATCAGGGAAATGCACACACTGAGTAAAGGTTTCAGGGAGGAGCTGAACCCTAGTTCAGACTGCCTTTGTTATGACAGGAGTCTTGGTGGCCCAAGGAGGAGGAGGAGGCTTTTCTTTGAAATGTGAATTAAGCTGAAGCCCCCACTTTAATAATCCCCCACCCACAAGTCCTCTAAACAAGGGCTTTAATTTTTTAAAAAATTAGAAACTCTCTGAGGCATTATAGAATTATAGATTCTATCTTGTTTAAACCCTGAGTTTTCAACCACTGATGCTTGATAATCTTCAGGGAAGAATTACTTGAAATCTAGTAACATGTACTTCTCAAAATCAAACTACAGCATGTAGCATGGATCTAGTCAGATAATAGAAGTTTTAGAAAGATTCTCAAGCTGTAAAGCTTGAGGACTAAGGTGCGCCTGACCCAAGCCATGATATTTTCAATAACCTCATATGCATGTGAAAAGTGGACAATGAATAAGGAAGACTGTAGAAGAATTGATGCTTTTGAGTTATGGTGTTGGAGGAGAATATTGAAAGTGCCATGGGCTGCCAAAAGAACCAATAGATCCGTTTTGGAAGAAGTGCAGCCAGAGTGCTCCTTGGAGGCCAGGATGGCCAAACTTCGTCTCTCATACAGTTGCTGGAGAATGATATAAAGTTAAGTAAGGTGGAGGGTCAGAGAGAAAGAGGAAGACCCTCAGTGAGATGGACTGGCAAAGTGGCAACATCAGTGGGCTCAAGCAATGGCAACAGTTGTGAGGTTGACCCAGGACCGGGAAGTGTTTCGTTCTGTTGTACATAGGGTCGCTATGAGTCGGTACCGACTCGATAACACCTAACAACAACGACAACAAAAGCTTTAGGCATGATGGGAGTTAGGAACAAGTTGTTGATCCTTGAAGTGTAGGAGGTGGGGAGTGGGTCCTAATGCTGCATGACTTTGAATTGATTTGGGCTTTTTCACTCTTGTTCTTTCCTAAAGGTGAGAGCACTACTCCTCGGGCCATTCTCACCGGTCACGACTATGAGATCACCTGTGCTGCAGTGTGCGCTGAGCTAGGCCTGGTGCTAAGTGGTTCTAAAGGTAAAAGCCCTGTACCATCATCAAATGCATGCATTTCTTAGTGTCTTCTAGGGACAGATTACCTAATATGGATTTGATACCTTTTTCTCTGAAGTTGTGTCATCTCTTATGTTACATGTTGTTATTGTTAAGTTCTGACAGTTGGTTCCAACTCGTAGCAACCCTTTATAGATAGGGTTTCTGAAGAGCAGCTGTGGGTTTGAACTACTGAACTTGTGTGTAGCAGTCCAGTGCTGATCCTACAGTGCCATGCCATATCCCCTATCTACACAGGGCTGTTTAGTTATAAAGTAAATACATAGGGCTATTTAAATATAAGTTCATTAAAATAAGATGAAGTTTTAACAAACTCAAGATAAAAATTAGATAACATTTTATCTAATTTTACCTATGTATTGTTGTTCTTCTTCTTAAGTGCCATGGAGTCTGTTTTGACTCTTAGTGACCCTGTATAGGGTTTCTGAGGAGCAGTTGGTAGGTTTGAACTGCCGACTGTAGTTCACAGTGCAGTGCTGATCCTACAGTGGCACCCTAGGATTTTAACTTTGGTGCATATACACAGTGTAATATTATACAACATTGAAGAATAGCGATGAGTCCACCAAACACCACAGAACATGGAAAAGCCTGAAGGGCATTATGCTGAAATTAGTGCGATGCAAAGAGACAGACACTATGTGAGACCACTACTGCAAAAAGTCAAGAAAAGGTTTTCATTCTATAATAAACATTCTGTGATGGTTGCCAGGATAGGAGGGAAGGGAGAATTATTCACTGGATAGAGTGTAGACACGTGCTAATTTGGGTGACGGGAAAGGCAGTTAAAAAGAAAAGGAAGGGAAAAAAGGAAACTACTTTTTTTTTTTTTTTTCATGTACTGGAAGGGAAACAATATATACTTGTTTCCTCATTAGGAAAAAACACTTGTAACTTTCCCATAAATAAAAAAGGTAAAGGAAAGGAGGAAGAAAGAAAAGGAAAAGTCAAGAGAGAAACAAATGATTTGGCAGTTGATAGTGGTGATGCTTGTACACCATTGGGGAGTGTGGTTGGTATGGCTGGCTTGCTCATGTAAAAATGGTTGGAATGGCCAATGCTCTGTTGTATATATATTGTTACACTCTAAACAGATGAGATACCATTTTAAGTTCACTTCCTTGGTGGCACTAGCCCTATTTCAGGTGCTGTATTCACACATGGCTAGTGACTACTGCATTAGCATAGATATTGAACTGTGCTAACTCCATCTGCACTGAAAGTTCTGTCAGATAGCACTGCTGAGTTTCAAGAGTTTAAGCTGCTTTACAAAGATGGCTCATAACTTTCACATTTCTGTGAGGCAGATAACAAAGATATGCATTTTTTCCATTTTCACTTTGGGCTGGACTCCATCTCACCGTGGAGTAGAAACTCTTGGACCAGCCTGTTTCAACCTCCAAAAGTTAGGAGTAGGCAGGGACCCTAATGGCACTGAGACTGGAGTAGGTAGATAACGAGCTGACTTGCCTGCAGGTTTGCTCTAGTAACATCAGTATACAAAGATATTAAGTGAGCTGTCCAAGACCAAACTGCAACAAATCAGGGCTGACCAGAACTGTTTGCAGTTCACTGCTCAGTCTGTTATATTCATTGGCCCATCTCCCTGTCTCTGCTTTGAGTAAAACTAAAAGTACCGGCACCCATGTCCTTTAGGCAATCTGGGAGGAACCAGACAGTTTTGGGGTCACCTTCTCTGCATCCTGAGCTGTAGCATTTAGTCCAGCTACAAGGTTTATTGAATATTCAAGGGATAAAATATTCCAAGGATCATGTTTAAAAATTAAGTTGATCAAAACAGTGATAGAGCACTGATGACAGAAAGATTCTGTAACTATTGAATTTTTGTCGCTGTTCCTTCTTATACTAAGTAATTCCATACATCCAAAGCCCACGTGGGTTCTTGGACTGTATGTGTTGTGTATCAGACATATGCAGAATGCAGCTATCACATTACAGACAGTCCTTGCTTTGCACAGTACTGCAGGACCATAAAAATGATCGCACTGTGCAAAGTGATCCCTGTAATTAATATGAAAGTTCATGATTGTCCCATGACCTGTAATTTTTTTTTGCCAAAATATTAGTAACTATCAGTTATAAATATATAAGGAAATTTTAAAAACAGTAAAACCCATGTTATTTGTTGTTGTTAAGTGCCATCGAATTGCTCCTGACTCATAGCAACCCTGTGTAGCGTTTCTGAGGAGTGGCTGGTGGGTTTGAATGACTTACCTTGCAGTTAGCATTCCACTGCTACCCTGCAGTGCCACACCAGGACTCCCATGTTATTTAATATATCATAATTTGAAGCCCTCAAAACATTGATAATTACAGGATCTTTTTTTTTCTTTCCCTTTGTGAAAAGTAAGTTTGAATCCACTTCCAACATCTTATCCTTTATGCCCTCAATGTTGTTTGTGAAATATCCCCTAGAATTCCTTTACTGAAGGACATTATGCTGAAATTAGTGTGATGCAAAGGGACAGACACTATGTGAGACCACTACTGCAGAAAGTCAAGAAAAGGTTTTCATTCTATAATAAACATTCTGTGATGGTTGCCAGGATAGGAGGGAAGGGAGAATTATTCACTAGATAAGAGTGTAGACACGTGCTTTGCTGGCATCACCTCTGGGACATAAACACTTCTGTCACAACCAGTTTCCTCATTTAGGTGCGTAAGTTCACCTTCACTAATTTTCTTTGGCTACATATTTACAGTCTCATGAATGGTGACAGTATCAACATTCCTTCAGCCAGCTATTTCTTCTGTAATTCCATGCATGTTCAATGTGAATATCACTATCAACATTTTATCTTTTCATGTATTTACTGAAACTTTATTTTTGCTGGCCAGTTGCCTCTTTTGATTATCCATTTTCATAAAAGTTCACGTGGGTTTGCCACTAGGAGATAAGTATATGTTTTGCTGTCTGTACATGTGAACTGAATGACACGTGCTCAGTGACCAGTCAGCAGTAAGCTTTGAAAGACGTGACATTGGTCTCCGATCATGATGCACATCTGTTATTTATGTAGTGACTTGTGGATTAGAGACTGGAGGACTAGCAGCCAAGTTTATACTTGATACAGTTACTGTAGTAACTGAAATTTCAACCACATTGTTGGAGGACTGGTGTTATTTAAAGCATGGTAACTGAAATCGGTGCATATTGGACCCATGCAGTGCGAGCACTGGTGTGTAGATTTCTGTATGAGAAATCGTACTTTCAAAAGAACATGCTTTCAGTAGTCACTTGAGGAGTTGCTAATGATTCCTTATAGCCAGGGTAATAGAGGGCGTATGTCTAACTCAGACTTCCCTTGGAACATACTCATCACATGAGCCTCTGTTAGTACCTACGAGTCAGGCTGCTAACCTCAAGGCCAGCAGTTCGTAACTATCAGCTGTTCCTTGGGAGAAAGATTGAGGTGTTCTGCTCCCATAAAGACTGACAGCTTCGGACACCCTATACAGGGTCGCTGTGAGTCGGAACTGACTCATTGGCACTTAACCACCACCACCACCACCACCACTCCTTAGCTTGGCATAAAAATAAGTGAACAGCTCTGGTGTGTATAGTTTTTGAGCAGTTTCCTTATCCAACTCACCATCTCAGCACTGGGAGCTAGGAATTGTGGATGTTGTAGCTTGCTTGGGGGACAGCAGGGAAGACAACAACCAACTCAATTGTTACAGAAACAGCCAAAGGATCTCTGTCGGGATTTATTTAGGAAACAGTGGTTGAGCATTGGGCTGCTAACCAGAAAGGCAGCAATTGAAACCCACCAGCCACTCATGGGAGAGACAAAGCTGTCTTCTTCCATAAAGATGTGTTATTGTTAAGGGTTGTTCAATCAGTTCCGACCTATAGCAACCCTGTGTAGGGTTTCCAAGGAGTGGAAGGTAGGAGGTTTGACCACTGACCTTGCAGTAAGCAGTGCAGTGCTGATCCTATAGTACCACGCTTGCACTCCCTGTGAAGCCCCATGGAGCAGTTCTACTCCATCTTACAGGTTTGCTTTGAGTGGGAATCCACTGGACAGCAGTGGGTGGGTACCAGAGACTGCTTTTCAATGTAAAGCAGCAGTGGGGCGAAAGAATATGGCAGAACTTAATGATGATGTGGCACTGTAGGTTAATGCACCACACTGCAAAGCCCTTTGAACTGCAGGGTCGATGGTTCAAGCTCACCAGCTGCTCCTTGGAAACCCTATACAGGGTCGCTATGGGTCAGAAAAGACTTGATAGCACTTAACAACAACAACAACAATGGTAAGAGCCATAGGAAGCAGCAGAAGTGAAGAAATGAATTAGAGGAAGGAGGCTTCGGTCTTCCAAGCTGTCCCCACAGGCTCCCCCTGCCCGACCCACAGTGCTGTGAGCATCAGAGGCCCTTAGAGATGCCAGGGAAGTGCAGAGTTGCTGGAGAGCAGCCTGCGCTGCAGTGCATTCTAACCACCCATTCCAGTGTTTGAAATGTGTCCTGTTCTTTCCGGAATCCCTCCAGTTTGTGTCACTAATTGGCATAATGAATTTCATAAAGTAACTTCCTGCTTCTTGAGGAAACGTGAACTTGAACATGTACGACTTGACTCTCTCCTCTCCCAAGAGGAAGGAGGGATCTGGCAAGCATGAGGGGGGAGATTTTATAAAATCATTTATGTGTAAGATCTATATGTTTTTTCTAACTGTAGTTGTTGTTGTTGTTAGGTGCCATCGAGTCGGTACCGACTCATAGCGACCTTATGCACAGCAGAAGGAAACACTGCCCGATCCTGGGCCAACCTCACCATTGTTGCCACGCTTGAGCCCATTAATGTAACTGTAGCATGGTGCCTTAATTCTGTTTGCCATGCGCTCAAGATTCACATCAGATTTGTCTTGTTTTATTTTAATTGCCTTGTACTTCTCTTCATTTGTCAGAAGGACCATGTCTCATACATTCCATGAATGGAGACCTGTTGAGGACCTTAGAGGGCCCTGAAAGTTGCCTGAAACCAAAACTCATTCAGGCTTCTAGAGAGGGTCATTGTGTCATATTCTATGAAAATGGCCTCTTCTGTACATTCAGCGTGAATGGGAAGCTCCAGGCCACTGTGGAAACAGATGACCACATAAAGGTGAGTGTCCTGTAGAACTGTCAGCATTCTAGACTTTTACCTCAAAGTGTCATACGTGAGGAGGGGCTTGTGACCTGTGCAGGGCCTCTCTTCTGGGCCAACAGAAAACCATCAGGCAGCACTTGGACAGCATCATAACACCCAGACCCCACAACCTGTCCCAGCTGTGCTCACTGCTTCACTTGTGTGAAACCAAGTCAAGCCGAGGATGGCACTTTAGCAAAGGTGTCGTCTCTAAGGGCTTGTGAAGCCACCTGGGTAGCTGTGTTTTGTTTTTTTGTGTAAGAAAGTTCCCTGCATGTTGTTGTGAGCTTAGATTGTTGTTATTGTTAAGTGCCACCAAGTCAGTTCCAACTCATAGTAACCCTGTCTAGAGTTTCCAAGGAGCAGCTGGTGAATCTAAACCATCACTCTTTTGGTTAGCAGTCCAGTGTTTATCCCAAACTGAGATTAGGTTACATCCAAAACTGGTTCCTCTTTACAGCTGGAAGCAACAGGGACTCTGACTATTTAGGATCAGCATTCCATTTCAGATTTCACTTTCTTACAGATAAACAAGACCAAAACTTGGGCAGTTAAAGGAATTGTACTTCAGATTATGATATATGAGGGGGCTTCAAAAAGTTTGTGGAAAAATGGAATAAAAAGAGTATGTAATTTTTCCATGACTTTTGGAAGCCCCCTTGTATATTTGGCAAATGTTATTTCACTTTTGGTATACAAAGAATGGTAATCCCAATGGACCTTCTGGGATACTGCATCGGTTGTACCACAATATGAAAAGCTGAACCCAAAAATGAGTCTTGTTTAAGAGTCTACTTGTTCAGATCTGCCTTTTCTTACTTCAAAACTCCTTAGTGTTCTGGTCATTTACCAGAATGGATGTAAGGATTCACTGGACCTGTGTACAGCGGACTCCTGGGCATGTTTGGGAGCAGGGGAGGAGGAGAGTCAGCTCTAGACTTTCTACTGTTTCTATTCTAGAAATGGTTATATTCTTGGACTGGTAACTGCAAGGTTGGCAGTTCAAACCCAACAGTTGGCTCCCTGTAAATCCTATATAGGGTCATTGAGTTGGTACTGACTCAGTGGCATTTGACAACAGCAACATTTCTGATCCTGGATGACTCGGATGACATAAATTCTCCCAGGTTCTCATATAGTCTGACCATCCCCTTCTCCAGATAGATACCAGGTCAGGAAGTATTAGAATCCATACACCTTCTGTGAGGAAGCCCTGGTGGTGCAATGGCTTAGCATTTGCCTGCTAGCCAAAAAGGTCAATAATTTGAACCACCAGCCACCCTACAGGTGAAAAGGACTAGTGGTCTGCTTTCATAAATTTTATAGACAGGACATTCTCTGTCATATAGGATCGCTATGAGTTGGAAGCAATTCTAGGGCACACAATAATATATTGCTTCTGTATCCCAGGATTGACTTCTTAATTCAGTAAGCTGTTCCCTTTTTCTCTTCCTCCATTTCTCTCCATGAATTTTCTCCACTACATGTTGCCTGCCTTGTCCACATTGGCACATACACAGAGATCCTTTCCCTTCCTTCCCATAATACTTAATTTAACCCAAAGTACACATCAGAGGGTTTCCTTTCCTCTTTTCTTTACAATATGAATGTTGATAATATGTCACTTTCAGTTGCGATTATATTGTCAGCTACGCTAATAAATCTGTAAAATAATTTGAAATCCCTAGCTGGCTGAAACAATTTCTGTGGCATTTCAGTTGGTAGCAGAGGCTCTGGGAAGTTCCTCAAGGCCGTAGGAGGGAGACTTTCTGCAGACTGTGCGTACACACATGCTTTTCCTCTCTGCCCTGTAGGCATTGTTTTTTCCCTCCATAATATTTCCCACTGGATTTTAGGCTTAAACAATCCATTGCCTTTTTCCCAGCACTCCTGCACTTTATCATACTAAGTTGCAAGTGGCAACCGTGTGATTAAAGCGAGCTAGCCTAAAATGAGCACGACCTGCCCACAGCTCCAGAGACTGACACTTTCACAGCTAACTGCCTCGGGAAGGTAGGAAGGAAGGAAGGAAGGAAACCACAGGCTGGGAATAGGAGACAGCTCAAAGCAAAAATCTCTGGCTCCGTCCTGCAGTCTGAGCCTATATAAGGAAAAGAGAACAGGGAAGCAAATGAGCCATCAGCTCAGACTAGAAATCAAGTTTCTTTGAAATACCAAGAACCCTGCAGGCAGACAGCCTGGTGAACCTCAGTGCTAATCAGGACTTCCCACCTGTTTTTAAGTGCCAGCTTGTTCAGTGGCATTTTGGTTAACGGCATATCATTGTCCATCAACTATGCCATGTTTAGATGTCTTAATGATTAACTTAAATGTAAGTTGGCAGCCTGCACAGAGCAGTAGAGTTATTATATCCTAAACAAAGGCTAACCAGTATTCCACCCAGAGGAATTCGTGTATTTTCTTTCCTTGAAGCTGTGTTTGGGGATAAGATTGTCCCCAACAGACTGCTGTGTTCTGCTGATGCATCGTCCGCTGATGCCCCTGTAAACGCCAGTGTAGCTATTGTTGTCTACCGCACGCAGGAGCACAGAGATAATACTGTGTGTCCGGGAGCTCTTAAGATTCCTAGTCACAACCAACCTGGGGACAGGTGATGTGTTAGAATGAAGAACTATGTGAAGGCTGGTTTCAGTGGAAGAAAGGGGACCCCTTAGTGAATGTTTGACTGGTTCTGCCCGCCAGAGAATTTGAAAGGTACTTTCAGAGGAAGGCCGACAAAATATTTTTTTTTACCTGGGCAGATACCTGGCTTATGAAAATGTTTTGAATGCTGATAAATATGTAGTCCTTAAAGTTTAGGCTTTATTTAATTCCAGACACAACCAGGATCAGAGACTGTTTAATAGAACAAAAGATTAATGGTTTTAATCTATGTTTTCATATAGCATGTATTCAGTAAAAAGCCGCAAGTATAAAACTCAAGTGAACCACAGCCTTAAGGTTAATGGATTTTCATCAGCTGAATTTTATAAGTGTAGCAAATAATTGTTTGTCATAGGCTTCATTGCAGTTCCCAGATACCCCCTGGCGATTTTTCCATTTGTGAAATGAGGAAAAAAGATTTTTACTTAGGTTGAAATATCTTAATATTTGTATTTGGTTGCTGTGAGTTACAGGATCCTTCTTTCATGTAACCGTCATCTACCTATGGTTTTTCTTAACTTCTTAGATGTATTTTTGGTGAATTGAATGGCTTTAAGCAGGATCACTGAAGGCACTCCTTAGCTATGATTTTAAGAAAGATTTTGTCGAAGGGTAGATTAGACACTTAGGCTAAACTCTCTAATTTTTAGAAGTTAGGACAACCGTGGTCAAGTGGCCATGTGGTTACAGGTGCTAGTAATGAGTGCTAATGATACCCAGCTAAACAAAGAAAACTTGTCAAAGAACAGAAACAAACAGGTCAGGCTTTGTGGGTCTTATAGTCTCGGTGACAGGTGAAAATAATAACTTCAAATGTCAGCATCCTTGAGTTTTTTTGGACCAGAGCCACACCTATCAAATTATGGCTGCTTCCAACAGCAATTGTAACAGAGTTGTTGTTTTTTTCCAGTCATGGTTTGCCAGGCCCTCCATTTTATATGTGTCTGTGCTCCCTGCTTGGCACAAGGGCAGGTGCTGAAGCTGGTGGTCTTCTGTCTTGGAGCCATAGTCCCAGAGTGAGCCGTGCTCCGTTGGGATGTGAGGTCTATCACTTGTCTGCCAAGCTGTGGTACAGAATGGGCTCAGCATACCCACAGTTCAGCTGGAGAGAGAGGCCCATCCCAGACCAAAACATGCACAATCGAGTAGCATCATAAAGTAGGGCATGTCTGCCACCTCATCCTAAAAACAAAACTCAAGCATCTCCCTTTTGGTTCCAACAGCAAATTCAAACACTACAGCAACCACGCTTCACTGCTTTTTCACATATCATTGCCTCCTTCGAGAAAGTTCTCCTTTTCACTTAATTTTCTAAAACAATGGCAGGTCTTTTACAACTCAGGGTTTCCTGCAAACTCCTAAGGAACACGTACAGACACACCCACTTTCTCTGTCTTCCCTGCGTGCAGTCTCTGGCTTTATGTAGGAATTAATCACAGGCTGAGGGCCTGAGTTTCTCTAGAACCACACCACCACTAAACAGTTGCCTTGTCCCATAGGCAATGCAGCTGAGCCGGGACGGGCAGTACCTGCTCACGGGAGGAGACAATGGTGTGGTCATGGTGTGGCAGGTGTCTGACCTCAAGCAACTCTTCGCCTATCCAGGCTGCGATGCTGGGATCCGAGCCATGGCCCTATCTTTTGACCAGAGGTGAGACGGGACTCATGGGTCTTAAATGGTGGTAGGTACACAGCTGTGGAGGGAATTTGTATAAATGGGCCAATCGAGGAGCTGGGGTGTGGGAGTCAGCTGTATAATCAAGAGTCAATGAAATGGGTTTTCAAGAGCATTTTATTAATGTATGATGACTTTCAGATGGCACTGATTGATAATCATGGACAAAGGATGAGTTTTCCAGGGATAAGATTTTGAGCAGTACAGGCTCTGAATATATTGCTGGAAAACTTGTACACATTGTTACTTAAAATACCTTTAAAAAACACACCTTAAGAGCTGTAAACATATTTACTATGAAACCCCCTCATCGTTGTCCCTTAGTACTCAGCTGATCCCCTTTTTTAGTTCTTAAACACCCTCCCAGTGGTGAATTGGCAGCTTACTTCCTTTTAATACAATGAGTCTTCAGAAGTTTGTGGGGAAACTAAATGGAAAGATCATTGGAATTTTCCCACGAGCTCTTTGAAGCCCCCTCACACATCATCCCTCATTTTCGTCCCTAATGTGAGATCCAGGAAGCATATTGAATCTAAGAGCTCTAAGGGCTTGGTCCTGGCCAACCCCTGCAGAGGACAATGGGCCAAGACAAGGGACTCAGTGTTAGAGCTCTGAAGGAGGCACCCCTAAACCCATCCCTACAGCGTTCATCTCATTGTCCCACTGCCACCTTGTCAAGGGCAGCAGCCGGCAGCAACTCTGTCTCCAGTGTCATCTCAGTGAGTCACTGTGTTTGAGGACTAGCCCTCTACCCCAGAACACGATCAGCAGGACAGCTAGGTCCCTGCTGCAGTCAGCCCTCTGCTTTTCTTGCTTTTCATAGCTTTTATAACCTGTCAGAGGGGATCTGACACCTGATTGTGTGGTTTCCCTTGCTTCTGATGACTAATAGAAAGGATAGGCCTTGCCAGCCCCGCCCCTCCTAGAAATGGTCAAGGCTGCTCTAATTGTAGTGGCTCCTTGGGGACTCCTGGTCCCACCTGCGCTTTTGGTAGGAAAGCACACTATGGCCGGGTGTCTGGAGGAGACAGCACTCGGGGCTTCCTCAGCAGTTCTCACAAAGGCAGGTCTCTCTGTCATCTTCTCTACCCTGTGGCCCTTGGGAGTGGGGGGCAGGTCTCTAGGATAAAAAAACAGGTAGTGAACCCTGTCTGCTCTTGTGCTCCCCAGGTGCATCATTGCCGGCATGGCCTCAGGAAGCATTGTCCTCTTCTACAACGACTTTAACCGGTGGCATCACGAATACCAAACCCGCTACTGAGGAGTATGCCGCATTGACCCTGCCTTGGCACTGGGCAGAGAAGTACCCCAGCACCATTCTCTTAGAAATAGCTATTACATCTGAATGTAACTTAAATTTGATCAAGAAGCAAAATATTTTTTAAATTGCTATTTTTGTAGACTTTGCTTGACTTTTTTGGGGTGGGGGAGGGAATAGCAAAGCAGAAAACTGGCTGCTGGGTTCTGTAGTTTAAAAAAAAATCTATATTTTTAGTCATAATGAAAAGTCTATTTTCACCAATTATGGAAACTTACAATGAGGCGAGAAAGCTCATTAATACTAACTATATTATGAAGGAACATTTCCCATTTATCTTTAACCTTGAAAAATAAGATGATTTTAACAACAGGGAAATGGGTTATGATATTGGAATAGGGGGATTTTATGCTGTACTTTGGGTCCTGTGCTTGGGTTTTTTCAAAGCAGTTGTACTTCTTCCATACTGAAACTTCCGGGTTTAAATAGTAATGTTAAAATTATGGTAAATGTAATTTAAAACATCTCAATGGATTATTTCTATCAATATTATTGTTTAAGCATGTTTTAGGCCTAGGAAATTATGGTTTGAGGGAGGTTATTTTATTTTACTGTGTGGTTAACAAAGAATCTAATGTTATATATATAGCAAGTGTGAAATAGCTACAATTTTTTTTCCCCCTGACCTGTCGTCTTCATAGCACACCAAAATGAAAGGATGGAAATGTTCTTGGACTCATGTGTTTCACTTTTGAAGTGAAGGCAAGTACCAAAGCTCACCCCTGAGGCTGGACCATCGGGGCTTTAGGGGGCCCACCTTGTGTTCGAGAACAGAGGCTGCCAGGTGCTGTATTAAGCAACACCCATTGTACTTTCATTTTACTTTCTATTTGTTATTAAACTATCTCCACTTTCCTTTTGAGTAGCAATTTGTATTAAGAAACAAATGTTATTTTGGTGTTGTATACTTCTACTTTTCTAGTAGATTGTTGTGTGGATTCTGTGAAAAAAATTTCAGAAAAGGTCTGTATTGCATAAATAAATTCTTTGTATGTTGTGAACTTTGAGTTGAAACTGGCATTATATCTCTATTACTCTTGCAACTTAAAAAGAGGTCTCATTTCCCACCCTATACACAAGCTCAAGTTGACAGAAGTAGATGAAACAGCAACTAATTGAATGGCTGGAATTATCTTTTTTATTCTTAACTTTTAAACATTGATAAAATAGTTATTTGCAAGCAAAACGTCAGACTCTGGTTTAGTCATAGTTTTGATCAATAGCCAGTAAGAGAGGGGTCCCCCTGAAGGAAAGCAGGAAGCTGGACCTTCTCTCTGGCCACAGATATTCCTTGTTTGACTTCTGAAGAGGAAAATCAGACTTAAAATGCTCCTGGTAACTTCTATTGTCTATCTTTTAATGACAGTTTTCCATGAACTATTTGAAATTCCCTCATTATTTGAGAAACAGTCCACTGCACTACCAGGGCTGCTAACTGAAAGATTAGCAGTTCAAATCAGCAGCCACTCCACTGGAGATGGGTGAGATTATCTGCTCCCATAGAGATTCACAGTCTTGGGAACACTATGAAGTAGTTCTAGCCTGCCCTATAGGGCCACTATGAGCTGGAACCAACTTGATGGCACTGGGTTTATCCAAAAAATGACCAAACAAGGGGCTTTTAATACATCATTTAAGATGTGCCATTATTCTGGTGGTGGTGGTGGTGTGCATCGAGGTGGTTCTGACTCAGAGCAACCCTGTATAGGGATTCCAAGGCTGGACATCTTACAGGTACAGAAAGTCCCATCTTCCTCCCACAGAATGGATAGTAGATTTGAACTGCTGATCTTACAGTTAGCATCCCAGCTTGTAAACCACTACTGTACCAGTGCTCCTGCCATTATTTTATAAGCCATTAAGAAGTAAAAAATATAGTTAGGATGCAGGAGAGAGAATGAATTTCATAGAATCAAATACGCTAAGTTATCAATAAAGTAATTGACCATACCTCTTTCACCAATATTAACTCTTAGGCAAATATGATATTTTGGAAATTTTAGGACAAATCAGCAATACCTAAAAGACAATATACCTAAATGTCATATGCCAGACATAGGATATTTTACCTCATTGTAAAAAACCTAATGCAGGTCAATAAGCAAGTTCCTCTTGGGATATAGAAATATTCAGTTCTCCACTGCATTTATTCTTTTAAAACTTATATCCTATTAGGAAAACTTAAGTAAAACACAAGTAATACTTCATAAAATAATACGGCCTGCATTATGTATCTGTTTGGTATAGCACTTTTTTAGGACTTACGCAACATTCACGTTTTTTATCTAACACCCTTAAATAAATAAAAAACATTCATTTAAGTAAATGTGAACCAACCCCCCAAAATGAAAATCAAAGTAGAGGTGGTTTGGGGAAGAAGCGGAATGACCTAGAAGAGAAGGGAAATGGTGGCTCTTCGGAGAGTGTAGCATATTTGGTTTAACTAAGACAGGTTTGAAACCACACTATCTCAAGAAATTTACATTTTTAGTCTGGTAGTGTTGACTTATTCTGAAATATTAATTGGTTTCTAAAAGTTCACAGGAAATGGAATGAAAAGATAATGGAAGTCATAAGATGCTGCTGAAAAGCGACTGGGTGGTAGAAGAAATTAAACGTGAACTCACAAAGTTCCTAGAAACAAATGAAAATGAAAACACAACATACCAAAATCTTTGGGACACAGCAAAAGTGGTGCTGAGAGGACAATTTATTGCAATAAACGCACACATCCAAAAAGAAGA